AAAACACCGGCCTGCCTCTAAGACTGCCGTGGCCAGAAGCCCCTTGAAAATGGCGACCCCGGGCAACTACCCAGCTCGCCTGTCACTAATACCGGCTCGGGGGGAGGGGAAGGAGGAAGGGGTTCTCGCGGAACCCCGAGGTTCTGTGGAGCACTATTTGGGAAACAGTAGCCTACATGAAACTTATTCCTTCCTTAAATTTAGGGGACTAGATTACATGATCTCTACATGTCCCATGCAGTCCCATTATTCTATAGTATGTTCATGAGACACAATACAGTTATTTGGGAAAAGCAAATTTCTATTAAATATAGAAACAATTTCAAAGTTCATTTCCCCTCTATTTAAATGGTGACAACACTGAATCATAAAATATTCATGTACTAAATCCAGAACTCTTTACACTCATTTACTCAGTTGTTACACCTGAAAACATGCTGAGTTTTGCTCTAGAATCACAACCTTGTACAACTCGAAGGGATCTCATGTTTTCTAGACCTTTAATCATTTTTTATGCTCTTCTCAGGATTTTCTTCCAGTTTGCCCACATCTTTCCTGAAATGTGGTGCCCAATACTTCAGTTGATGCCATATCAGCATGGAGTAGAGTGCAATAATTATTTCTTGTCCTGCTTACAACACTGCTGATAATCCATCCCAGAATGATGTCTGGTTTTTTTTGTTGGTATTTTTTTTTTGCAACTGTGTCACCCTGTTGACTCATATTTAGCTTGTGATCCACTATAACTCCCAGGTCCCCTTCTGCAGTGCTCCTTCCTAGACAGTCATTACCTATTCTGAAAGTGTGCCAAAGATTGTTTCTTCTGTAAGATCCAAGGAAGGCCTTCAAGGTTTTGACATATGTAAATTGCAGGGAGCAATGAAAGTTGCATTTTGGCACCTTTACTTTCAAAAAAGCAATAGTACTAATATGAAACTTTGGTGCATGTTTCTTTTTTAACATTTTATAAACTAGAAGGTGGAAGATAGCATCAATACATTTAAAAAATAGAGAAGAAGCTCCTGGGAATTATTTTACTGCTAAACAGAAAGAGCTTTCATACACCAAGCTCTCATGTAGTAATGGTAAGCTTTAACCCAAATCAAATGAATTTAAATTATTTCAAACTGCAAAGCATAATCTAACTCAAAGGAGCAGAGCAAGATATTTTTAAATTTTGAAGAAGCTAAATTTAATCAAGTTATCTGGGCAAAGAAAAAAAACTAAGCAGCTGATTAGCTTGAAACTCAAATTCATCTTTGATCATCAAAATCTTCATTTATGATTTTGGCCAGTGTCTGAGATACTCCATCTTCAACATTAATACAGATACTGACATGATGTGCCAAATGCTACCCTTGGATATTATATCAATTAAAAAAAAGGTATCACAGATATATCCAACAGCGGAATGAAAACAGGGAAAAGGATGTTAAAATATCCACAACAGATTGTAATGCCTTCTTATGTGTTATATGTAATTTATTTTAAAAAAGCAAAAAAACTTTCACATATCAACATGAAATTTAAATTACAAACAAAAATCAAGAAAGTGAAAGGTTAAAAATCACTCCGGAACATCATCCCAACAACATTGCTATTATGTATTTTTGATTTCTGTCTTTCATGTAAAATATTCATCATACAAGAAAACAAAGTATGAACAATGTAGATAAATGCCTGTTGCTGCAGGAACCAGATCTTTAGATTTTTCTGAATTTGGTACCTTTAATACTCTACTCTTAAAATTGGAGAGTATGGAATGATGAAGTCAGACAACATTTGACTGTATATGCCTACAAACAACTGTGAAATGACTGTGTATTTGGAACCTTAATCAGTGATGCTGAAAATTGACCCAAAGTGTGTGACAAAAGCTAAGTATCCCGCCAAAATAGCCTGTGCAGAGGTCAAACTATAAGGGACATTTGCTGGGGTCCAATAGGAGAATAATGCTCTCCCTCAGGCCTTGAAGTGCCAGAGAGTCAATTTTTAGCTGTTACTTCAGTTTCAAGGCTCAGAAGCCTCTGCGGTCATGCTGCTGCTGTACATAGAGGACAGGGTGTTGGATCTATCTTGTAACTGTATTCTGTGGCTGGGTAACTACCCTCCTCCATCCCACCATGGGCTCCACAACACTACCATCAGTTCTGAAGAGACCAGGGTAGAAGGGAGAATGGGAGAACTTCCTCTTCTGAAAAAGATACACATCTTAAAAGATGGTTCTTTTCTGACCATAGGAGCCACCCACAACTTCAAGGGAATTAAAGTGATGTATTTTAAAGAAGGCAACTACCTAATACTGCAGCTTTTCCTGGAATTAAAACACCATTGTTTCTTGGCTAGCTGAACGTTTAAGGAGAAAAATTGTCACAGCAATAGATTTTTTTGGGGGGGGGGGGGAGAGCGGTGGGGAGGATCCCATCACAGTATAAAGTGTGTTTGATTTGCTGTTGATGTTCTTAAACCAACAACATTTTCAAACAGGTTTCGACAGAGGAATTGAGCAGAGTCAAGGAGGCAGCTCCCAGACTCATCACAAGCAGATCTGTCTGTAATTTGTAATGGACACAAGAGAACAGGGTGATTCTCTCATTTGTGTCTGCATCAAAGGCTCATGTGAAAGAGAGAGACAAGGGTCAGGCATATAGCTTTCCCACGTCACTTGGCATACAAAACTGGAGAGGATGCAGGTTCCAAACTGGCTGCATGCATACACAAACATGTCCAATTAGTAAATGTCTTGTGACTGTACTTTTTTTTAAGCAGTAAGATCCATAATGAACATAAAACATCCACAGTATCACAAGGAGGAGGATGCTAGTTTGGACTGGTGGTCCCTTTTAAATTAATATTTGCAGTATGGAACCTTGAACAGAGAAGTTATGAATTGCAAATTTAAGGTTGCAACAGCAACATTA